CATAATCTTGTGTTGCATCAAACGTGCTACATGTGGACGTGCATTGTCGTGGAGAAAAAGAACACCTTTCCGACTGGTGGGTGAAGGGCGTTTCTGATGAAGGGCTTGATTTGAATTTTCCAGTTGCTGACTATAGATCTCTGCATTGACAGTTCACTGTGGATTGAGGAGTTTGAAATGAATTACTCCTTTGATGTCCCGCCAAATGCAAAGCATCACTTTCTGCAGATAGAGTTCAGGTTTTGGGGTCGAAAGTGGTTGTTGTCTAGGGCTGAGCCATTGTTTTTGGCATTTAATATTTGCATAGAGAATTTATTTTTCATCACCGGTGACAATTCTGTCCAAAAATGTATTATACGCCAGAAGAGACGAAGCAATGTTCACACGTGGAAACAATGATCATCCAAGAATCCGTGAGGCACCCAAACACATTCTTTATGGAGTTTCCCATATTCCTTGGATGTTTACGTATTTTTTCATGAGAGTCATGCAATTTGAAACACCTATAATCCAACATAAGGTGTAAATACATAACTATTTTATTTTTAATACCAAAACTTTTAAAGTTTTTGACCTAAAAATTACCTCAGTCTTCTCTGGAAGTACGTCATACTTTTCTTCTGCTACACCAATGGTATGAGAAATGGTATGTGAAGATCTTTCTTCTAAGGAATCAGCTTCTGTTGCTAGAAGTACAAATAATGTATATATGCCTGTAACAAGAAGCCTGGATATGATTTGTGCATCTCTAAATTACAATAAAAGTTCACATAATGTAATGATAAATCAATGATGTGTGAGCAGAGGTTGTAGTCTTTGTTACACAGATTCCTCTTATATAATTTTTCTTTCAAAGTTAGCAGATTTCAGTTGAAATACATGATGTCTAAAGCTGTAACATAGCAGATGACTTATTCTTATACACACACATTCACACATAAAAGACAGAAATAAGGTTTGATGGAAAGTCCTGTCCTTTAACAAGAAATGTGGGCAGTTCAAATGTCTATTGAATTTAGAGCTGGTCAATTTTTGGAATTTTTAAATCAGTAGTCAGACTCATTAATAGATTACATTCGGTTAATTGATTGTTCAAACAAGACTCATAAAAAAATCCCTTATTCTCACGTGAGATGGCAGAACACAGCTCATTGTACTTTACAACAAACATAATAGAAATATACTTACCTGGATAACTGAAATAACCTAAAACACCACTAATTAGAAGCCATAATTACTATTAGTTGATTATTTTCATGAGTTGTGACACTAATCGATTAAACTGAAAAACCTGAATTAATGAAAAATAATAAAGAGAAA